CCCCAAAACCCCAAAACCCCAAAACCCCAAAACCCCTAAAGATATAAAAATATTTATAGATGTTCCCTACTCTTAAAACATGAGCCCCAGCTCGTATTCAAGAATCGCGAGCTGCTTCAAAGTGCAATACCCACTATGGGTTATTTTCACCCAAAAATAACATTAAAACTGGATTTACCCAGACATTTTATGGACTTGACTTCTGTAAGAAATTTCAGAGTTTCTAACTTTGCACAATAAATTTTATTCAATTTCGTTCTAGTAAAATCTCCCAGAAACAAGTCTGTTCACAAGCTAAAATCCATCACAAGTTTGGAGAAAGACCACTCAAAAGTGATCTACAGGTTGAAATAAATCCAAGAAGAAGATCGAGAGGAGGTTGCTCAAGCAGGCTATTAAAGCAAAGGCCAAGAATTCTGCAATAGTCATAGACGGCTATCCATTCTACCCATCTATGCATTCAAAACCCAGTGACCTCAATTTTTGTCCCTTCATATAAAGATCCAATCTTGTTGGAGAGGGTACAGCACCCGGAGGACTTTCCTCCCTTGGAAAAGAAAGTTTCTCAATATTGTCAGGTTCCTTCAGTTAAAGTTCAGGAGAAGGCTGAGAAGGAAAATAAACGGTAAGATTGCTACAACAGTGAATACCCTTGAAGAAGGTCTTTTGGGTCTTGAGGATTAGGATAGCTGGCTAAGAGTATAACATCTCAGCTTACTTAAGTGTTCTAGTTCATTGAGTAGCTATACTCATTATATTTTCAAGCATGGAATTCCTTTCTCTGTTGTGCTTAACATTTATGTTTGTATAGCCACCAAAAGAATAGAACAGTTTTTGAAGAAATGGATAAAGAAGCAGCGTTTTAATGATAATGGTAAGGAACGGAAGCCTGGTGAAAGGTACTCTAGAGGTCCAACCTTCACCACACCTCAACGGTCTGAGAAGTACGGCTCTGGGTCATACGATCTTAGTAACAGATACCTTAAATCTCTCTCAAAACCCAAAAGTCGCAAACTAGTGGTCTTCAAGAGCCAGGAAGCTGCCGAAGATTTAGTAGAAGAACAGCCAATACCCGCTCAAAAAGACATAGTCAGCCAGAGAACCTCGAGCGAAGGTTCAAATCTAGAATCCTTCAAAGATATTAAGCTTACTCCAAGAATTTCTAGAGTAGATCCAATTGAGGAATTTGACATCCCTGATTTCATCAGAGAGATTAGAAACAGATACAGGATCTTAAATCATGAGAATATAGAGGAAAGGATTGAGCTCGAGAAGGAAGACCCAACTGTGTTTCCTATATATGCTAGACTGAATAAGTTAAGAAAACTCAGAGAGCAAAATACCTCAGAGGTTATAAAACCAAACTCTAGAGATCGCCTCAAGATGAATAATGACAAATTTGACCAGTTTCTTAAGAGAATGATCAAAGAGAATCTTGAGATGAGCTACCCAGAGAATTATGAAGGGATTTATTTTAAAACTCATGATGAGTATGTGAAGTATATGAAAAGTAAATATACAACTAAGGTAGACACCATCGATTTAGACTCCATGTATCAAAAGTTAGGAGCAACATATCCCCGATATTATAGAATGACTAGTTCAAATCTTATTAAATCTCTCGGTGTGAGCGATACTGAGCAGAAAAATTTTACTAAATATAAGCTTAAGCACAAAGAACAACACTACCAAGACCAAGAAATTGATTTGTATGAGTACATTGTAGAAAGTCGATTGAAAAATTATGAAAAATCTATTGCAAAGGAGATTTCTACATTCCAAAAATAACAAGAAAGAGAGAAATATAACATGGAAAGAGTTAACGTCCTTAAAGCAGTCAGTTGCATACTTTATGCAGACACAAGCCAACAGGACATTAGGTACTTATCTTAGTAATCCTTCTAGATGATCGGAAATATGATATCAAAGACTATAACGAGTCTGATCCTAGACTAGCATATGATCCTAATGAACCCAAATTTTTCAAAGAAGCACCGCAAGGTGGACTGGACTTAATCAAAAAGCTAAAGTTAGCCACAAATGTCCTTAGAGGGATCACTCCTGAGAACCCAACTATATAAACAACAGACCAGAAGAGAGCAGCCTTAACACAAATGTCAGTGCAGAGTCTCTTTTGATGAGAAGTGTAAATTCACTGATTTCAATTCGAACATATTATTTTGGGGTTTTGGGGTTTTGGGGTTTTGGGG